CCACTCACCTTCAAGTTAGCAATCTGAGATGTTAGGGACTATGTGACCAGGGCTCCAAAGTATTGTTCTTTACTGATTAGTAAGTGAGTACAAAGGAGTTCTGGTGGCCTAGTGGCAAGAAGCTGCGCTGCAGTCCCAGAGGTACATGGTTCGAATCCACCAGATGCTCTGCTGGAGAAGGAGGGGCAACCTCCTCCTGTACCCGTCATATCTAATTTGATGGTATACACACACACACACACACACACACACACACACACACACACACACTTTTTAAAAAATATGAAACGTTTCAAGAATTTGCGTGTCATCCTTGTGCAGGGGCCATGCTAATCCTCTCTGTATCCAATTTTAGCATATGTGCTTCCGAAGCGAGCGCCCACCATTTAGTGTTTTGAGTTTTTTAAAATTTTGTTATTTGTGTGTGCGTGTACCGTCAAATCGGATCTGACTGGTACAGGAGGAGATTGTTCCTCCTTCTCCAGCAGAGCATCTGGTGGATTTGAACCATGTGCCTGTGGAATTGCAGTGCAGCTTCTTGCCAGTAGGCCACCAGAGATCCCTCCACCATGATAACTTCTGGTCCACAAATTTTTTTCAGCTCTGGTGAGTGAGCTTTGTTCATTTTGCCTACTCAGACGACTCAGTGCTGCCTTGGAACAGAGTACGCATCCGCGCCCACGTTCCTGTGTTCTGCTGGTGTTTATGCATCTAAGAATTGTAACTTTAAAAAGAAGCTTCAATTCTGTAGGAAGGTGTTTTGCGGTTTAGAGAGAAATGGACGTCAGGCAGACATGTGCTAAAAAGACGTGAAAGTGTTCACTGCAGTTTAGGAAGCTCAAGTGGCAGGAGATGAGTCACAGGGTTGGGGGACCCTGAAGAATGCACAGATACCAGAAAAAGGCACGAAAGCCCATCCAGAAGGGGTGCTGTCCTCACCACCATCTGCTCAGTGAGGCCCGAGGGTGGGACTTCTCTTTTCCAGAACTTTGAGATAAGACTTTGGTTTGCTTAAGGAACTGAATTTGTGGGAACTTGTTAGAGCCTCAAAAAGAAGCTAATACTCGCAACAATGAGATATCTCACTCCAGCAACAACAGCAAAGTGCAACAGGGCAGCAGACAGCACATGCTGGCGAGGCTGTGAGAGACTGGAACTCTATCACTGCTAGTGGGAATGTAAAACGGTACAACCACTGTGGAAGGCGCGCTGGCACTTTCTCCAAAAAGTTGGAAATAGAAATATCATTTGACTCAGCGGTCCCACTACTGGAAATCTACCAGAGACTTGAGACATACAGATGTATGCACACCCATTTTTTACTGGAGCATTTTTCATAATAGCAAAGAGACAGAAACAGCCCAAGTGTCCATCAACAAACAAATGGGCAGAAAGACTGTGACACAGCCACACAAGGGAATATAATGCAGCACTGAAAAAACAATGAACTTGTAAAACACTACACAACCTGGATGAGTCTGGAAGACATTATGTTTAAGGAACTATCTCTTGCACAAAAGGACAAATACTGCATAGGACCACTATTATAAAAATATTTCTTTTTTAAAATTTTAAACCTTGCTTTTAGGCACCATCGAGGTGGCTCCAACCCATAGCAGCCCTGATACAACAGATCAAAACCCTTTCAGGGCCTGCACCATCTAGTTGGTTCTGTTGTTCTAGTCATTGTTTGAGACACAGGGGAAGAGAACAGGAAAAGAATGGATGGGCACTACACTGGAATGGGAGAAGGGAGGGACTCTTTGAAGGGAATGGATGCTTAGACATTGTCAGCTGACAATTTGGAACAAGACCTGCACTACAAAGTTATTTGGGGGAGAGGAAAATATATACCAGTGAATGTGTAAAAACCCACTCTCTAAATGTTCACTAAAATTACAATTTTTTTTAAAAAAGAGCAGCTAATACACAAGTGGCTATGGCTCGGTTGCCAGAGAGAGCATGGTGCTGTCTGGGCGGGTGTTGTGGCAGTTTTTGCATGTACAGTCCTGGGGTACAAGTTGCCAGTACCACGGTCACTTTTGGTTGCTGTGAGGCTGAACACTGTGACACTGATGTGTCAAATGTGTTAATGATTGGTTACCCAATGTGGACAGAAAGTGGGGTGGAACTCCCCTATTAAAGCAAGCTTGGAAGGAGGAGTGGCATCCACTTCCATAACAGCTTGCCTCCGGAAACCCCATGAACCTGGAGAGAGGATGAAAGGCACCCAAGCGTCGAGGACTCTCCATCATAGGGTCGCTATGAGTCGCCTGCGACTCGATGGCACTTAACAACAACAACAACAAAAATACACAAGCTCCATTTCCTGGATTAGTAACATTGACATAATTATCTTCTGACACATGGAGACCAGACAGCGCTGGTCCCCGGTGGGCTCTGGTTCACCACCCTGTGACCTTACAGTGTCCAGCTGAGGAGTATCATCTCCCTGGGCCATTGAGAGTGAATGATGAGCCAATGGACCACACAACACCTACCTTTAACAAGAAACAACCCTTAACTCATGGTGACTCCACGTGTGTCAGAACAGACAGAAGCAGGTGGCCAGGCCTTTCTTCTGTGGTGCTTCCGGGTAGACTGAAACACTTAAACTTCTGATCAGCTGCTGAAGCTTAACCGTCAGCACAATGAGGACCTCCTGGCTCCTGATGGTTGTTATGGTTCATTGAGTTGGCTGGGCCTCCGAGCCATTCTGTCCTGTGCCGCTTCCATGACTATGGCATGTTTGAACCTACTTGGTGATGAGCTCATGGCTGCCCCCATTTCCAGTTGTCCACTTGACCAAACGAGATGGCCTTTTCCAGCGATGGGTCTTTCCTGAGGACATGTACAAAGCAGGTGAGCTCAAGTCCCCGTGTCCTCGGAGCGTTCTGGTGGGAATGGTCACTGCCCTGGGGGAGGTCTGGCTGTTCTGCATGGCTGCTGAGTGGCTGCAGAGGCGGCAGGTGTGAGGTGAGGGCGCAGTCAGGACAAGCCAGTGTCCACCAACTCCAGGCCCCGCTCTGCAGTCCTGCAACCTCTCTGTGGAGAGAGTGCAGGTGTCAATGACCCTGGGAAGTCTGGGGCCCGTGGACTTGACACCTACGCTGCTCACACCCTGGCTACTTGCTGTCCACTTCCCATTCCATTGATTCCTGTTCACACTCCCTCATTAGTTTTTTTTTAAATTTTTTTTATTTTGTATTGTGATTTGAGGGCCGCTAGTGACTCAATGACTAGGGTAATGGGGGTAGGTGTGTCGGAGATAATGAAATTGGCAGGGTTCAGAGCTGTTGTACATAAGGTCGCTATGAGTCACGAGGGACTTGACCATACATAACAGCAAGTGGCCTAGTGGGTAAGGTGTTGCACTGCCAACGCAAAGACAAGTGGTTTGAATCCACCAGCTGCTCCGAGGGAGAAAATGAGCAATATTCTCCTGAGTTCCAGCCTCTAAAAACCTGGAGGGTCAGTTCTGACTCAATGCCAATGAGCTGAGTTACTTGTTTATAATTTGAGTGTAATTTTACAGAGCTGACTGGTGTTCTGTCCATCCACTCATCCATATTTTATGACACTGATTACCATCCCCACATCATACTATCACTCTGCCCGTGATCTCTCAACAGTTCTTGCCTCTGTCCATCCCTCCATCCTCTCCCTGCCTAGACTTATTCTTGGACAAATGCTGCTGTGATTCTGTGTTACCAAATGTTCAACGCGCTGAATATCTCCAGGTCTTCCCGTCCACTTGATGGATCTCTCTAACTGACGCCCTCACCTGCTCAGTCTCCCCTCTAGCTCCACCCTGGGTTATTGCCTAACACGGAGCAGGTTTGCAAACAGCTGTACCCCGAGCCTCTTAATTCACAGCCCACAAAGCTAGTCTCAGGTGGCAAAGCTAATAGGGAGCTGGCACCTCTTTTGAAACCCTGCCCTGTCTGTTCTCATGCACTGAAAATATTACTCTATGTATCAGATAGGAATAGCATAGAAAACACAAAATTATTTACGCAAAAAATTACAACCTCTTTGTTATGTGCCATCAAGTTGGCACTGATTCCCGGCGGATACTTCTCTGTTATCCGTGGCAGTAAATCGCACAGGAGATTGTCCCACTATCTTCCGCAGAGCAAACGCTGGATTTGGACTATGTGACTTTGGTTTGGCAGGACAACTCCTTATCCACTAGGTCCTAACAGTCTTTGTTAACAACATTAGGAGGAAGGGGAGATAAAAACCTAAAAAAACCTCCAAATCACGCCAACTCTTCCACCGGAGAGGGCCACTTGGATTTTGCTTTTTTTTTTCTTCCTTTCAATTCCACTTTGTCCACACTTGCCGCCCATCCTTTGGAGGCGTCCTGAGACAAAGTCGATGAACTGGACGTACCAGTTCCCGCCGTTCCTCACCCCTAGTCCCGCTTGGGACCAGAGATGGGGTGGGGTGCGTGCTGGCTCCCGGCGGACAGAGCTGCTGGGCGGGGACTGCGAAGCACCTGGGGCCGCCTAGAGCCCTGAGCTCGGTTCCCGGCGCCCGGCGCGCCGACCCACGCGGAGACGCAGGAGATGCCGGAGCGCGGAGGCTCCGGGGCTCCCAGGCCGCGCGGCCGGGTTGCTGGGCAGGAAGTGAGCGGCCACCGAGGCCTCTGCGCGGAGAGAGGCGAGGCGAGGGCCAGGCCACCCTCTACCCCCACCCCCGGCGCCCAAAGTGACAGAGGCGGGGCTCTGGGCGGCGGCGCCCCCCTGAGCGAGCCCGGCGCTGGGGGCGCGCACGTGTGCCTGCAAGTGCGGGGGAGCCCCTCGGCGGCCCGGACTACAAGTTCCAGGGTGCCCAGCGGTGCGCCCGGGCTTTCTGGCCGCGCAGCCGGCCGGCTCGGAGCAGGTCGCCGCGGGCTGGCACACGCCACCCGGTCCCCGAGTAAATAAGGGAGAGCCTCTCCCGAGCACCGTAAATAGAGTCCAAGTGGGCGGGGAGCCGCCCCGCGCCGCCCGCTCATGTCTCTGCAGAGCCGAGTGGCCGGCCGCCTGGCACCACTGCGCGCGGCGGGGCAGCTGCTGGTCGCCCCGCGCCCCCGGCCCGGCCCCTCGGCGGGTGCCAGGAGGCCCCGCAGCAGTGCGTGCAGCCCCTTGGCGTCCCTGGGCTCGTACGGTCTCCTCGTGCGGACCCTAGCGGGAGTTGGAGCTTGGGGGGCGGCGGCCGTGGGGCGGAGAGCTGGGGTGCGCACCTGGGCCCCCCTGGCCATGGCGGCGAAGGTGGACCTGAGCACCTCCACCGACTGGAAGGCGGCAAAATGTAAGTGTAGGCAGGAGGGAGGTGCGCGAGGGCGACCTCTTCCTACCCAAGACCTGGGGAAGTTGAGGTCTCACGTGCTCCATAGAGACCACCCATGTACAACCACGCCGCCATAGGTCCTGTCTACTTCACCTTAGACCTGAGCTTGGTCTTCAGACAAGGGCAGTGTGAGGAGGACATCTTAACTCTGTTGGCCTGAATCAGTGACTACAGGGCACCCCAGAGGTCATCCAGGAAGGAAACTGAGGCCCAGTGCCTGACCTGATTTGCCCAAGGTCACGTGGAGTTTGTGGCAGAGCCGGCTTGAGATCCTGAACCGTTGGACTTTGCACAATACTATTTCTTAAATGGTAGCACTTGAGGCTGAGTGGCCGGGGACAGCTTTGGGCCTGGAGTCCCACCTGTTGGGGACAAATAGCCTTGTGGAGTGACTTTTCCCGCTCAGGCCTCCGCAGGACCTGCCCCCACACAGCCTGCCTCCCAGCACGTGGCATGTTGCCCTAATGCCCTCCCCGCTGGCAGCCAGCCCTGTAAAAGCAGTCTGCCCCCTTCCTGGAGGACACCAAGTGCAGGAGGAGTTGGGAGAGCAATCACTTCTACCTTCCAGAAGTTTCTGCATTCACATGGCCCCCTCTCACCGCCAGACTGGGCAGGAGTGGGGGGGGGGAGGGGGGCACGAATCCCTGGGGACAGGAGTCCCAGGATGGGAGGGACTTCAAGAGCCCTAAATAGCCTGGTTTGGCGGCCAGCTGCCCCTGCTTTTCAAGGCCTGTCCCCAGCGCCTGTGGCTCTTCCCGGCTTGATTAACTTTCAAAAGCGCAAGGCAGGCAGCTCATTGGCTGGGCCTTGGAGGTGGAGTGGGTGCGACTGGTGGGGCAGAGCTGTGGGGCCAGGGCAGAGAGCAGAGAGCCTGGGGTGTGAAGCTGTGGTGGTTTACCTCTGGCAGGGAGTTGCCTGCTCTGATGGTGAAGGTGGGACAGAAAGCACTTGTTATTCCCTCAGGGTTGGCCCCGAACGGGGACAGAGTGAAGGTGGAGGGGCTGGCAACACCCCTGACAGGGGAAGTTATCACCAGCCCCAGAAACAGCATTGCTTTTCCCCCTCTCTGAGCAGAGAGCAACACCCCAGGGCGCTGGCAATGAGAAGTGGAAAAGGGCCCAGGTCGCTGTTTTCCATGTGCTGCTGTTTCTAGAATTCAACTCTTTAACCCCAGTTCTTGTTAGCCGTCAAGTCCCCTCATCCCCTTACATGAAAGAAAGACTAGCCACTGCCGGGTCCTCCACTGTCTCCACGGTGGGCTGTGGATCCGACCATGATGGGCCATAGAGTTTGTGTTGTTTTTTTTTCTATCTGCTGATTTCCAGAAGTTCCCGAACTTTCCTCCTTGTCACCTTAACCTCGAAGCCTGTTCAGCAACACACACGCCTCTGCTGATAGACTGGTGGTGGCGGCCCAGAAAATGCCTTGGCCAGGAGTCCAACCTGGGTCTCTCACACAGAAGATGTGACTTCTGTCACTGAACCATCACTGCCCATGGCCCATGCCTTGGTGCCACTGGAAACCACAGACCTCATGTGTTGGACTGTGCCTGCCATGACTTGGTGACAGTGGTGTCACTGCAGTGGGTGGTTACTTTCTTTTTGGAGCTATGGTTTCTAGTCATTCATTCATTCAGCAGATTTTGATCCGCTGTCTTGTGTGTGGCTAGCACAGCTCTAGGGCTGGGGAATTAGCCTTGGCCTCATGGTGTTTGAAGTCTAATGGGAAGAAACAGGGAAAATTGGCCAAATAAATGAGACAATGTCAGGTAGTGCAGTCAGTGCTGGGAAGGAGCTAAAACAGAAACCGCATAGAATGGCTGATGGGGCTGCCTGAGCGGGGAGGTCAGGGTGGCCTCTGAGGGGGGAAGTGGCATTCCGGACCATTCCTGAGCCACTGCCAGGTAACAGCCAGGTCTGGGGAGCGGGCCTTGGCTGAGCGAACCAGCTGCCACCGGCTCCACCACCTTCAGGCCCCATGTCCCAGGAACCTGACTGGATAACGATTATGGCCTGCGTTAGCCCTGCGTGTGAGGTTCTCCCGCAGGCTTGTGGGACGGAAACATGGGGTATGTTTTTGAGTTCCATCGTTGTGTGATGAGAATGACCTCAACATTTCACAGCTTAAAACAGCAAATCCTTCTTCCTTTTTTTTTTTAATATAATTTTTTTTTGTGTGTGTGTACAGTCAAATCAGATCTGATTGGTACAGGAGGAGACTGCCCCTCCTTCTCCACCGGAGCATCTGGTGGGTTTGAACTGTGCACCTCTGGGATTGCAGTGCAGCTTCTTGCCACTAGGCCACCAGAGCTCCCTAACAAATCCTTCTCATCTCACAGTTTTTGAGACTTAAGAATTGGAGTAGCTTAGCTCAGGGCTTCTACCCGTCATGCAGTCAGCTGAGGTTTGAGGACACCCTGACTCAGGTCAGTTCTGACTGTGGCAACCCTCCCCTGGGATTCTGAGGCTGTAAATCTCAATGGGAGGAGATTGCCTCATCTTCCTGTGGAGCAGTTGGTGGGTTCCAACTGTGGACCACCTGGTTATCCAGCACAACCTGTAACTTAATATACTCTCAGAGCTTCTTGGGGTTTAATTAGGGCCAGAGTATGTATTTCCAGCGTGGCTCCCTCCCATAAAGTGACTGTGGGCTGGAGGCTTCTGTTCTTCACCGCGGGGTCCCTCCACACAGGGCTGTGTGTGTTGTTACAGTGTGGCAGCTGGCTTCCTCTAGAGCATGTGGTCCAAGAGAGGGAGAGCGAGGAGACTGAGACAAGACTGAGACAAGCCAAGCGTCTCTCTGTGGCTTCGTATTCAGAGACACTGTCCCTGTCCTGTTTTCTAGAGCTTCATATCCAGTCAGGAAGTCTAGTCCAAACTCAAAGGGAGGTTACTTTGGCCTCCACCTTCTGAGGGGAAGAGTTGCTAAGAATTAGTGGAAACATTTAAAAAAATTTGCTTCTTGTTGTAGTTGAGAATAGACACAGCAAAACATACCAAGTTCAAACTCATTGCCCTGGGGTTGGAACCTGCTCCAGCGGGGTTCCCGAGGCTGTGAATTGCTGGAGAGGAGACTGCTCCTCTTTCACCACAGAGATGTGACTTTGGAGATTCACGGAGCCCCCTCTTTCGGGGACTCCCCACCAATTAAGGTTCATATATGCACAGCTGAGTTACTCTGATTACATTCTTCACCTTTTTCTGAGTCACTTCTCCCTCATGAACATAGCTCACTGCCTTCCGGAGTTCCTGCTTCATCTTCTGAGTTGCTGTTGTCAATTTGATCCCACATAGATCTTAAAAAAAATAGCATAATGCTCAAAGAAGATGTTTCTGACTATTAAACTCTAACTTGGCTTTATGAAGACTTCAAAGGGGGTATTCCTAGTTTAAGATTTAAAGGTGATCTTGGGACAGTAGTTTCAGGGGTTCGTCCAGCCTCAGTGGTTCCAGAAAAGTCAAGTCCACGAGAATTCAAAATCCTCAACTGTAGTTTCTAGTGGGTTTATGTTAGAAACCACCAGAGGGGTGCCTATGCCGGACTCTGCTTCTTATGAGAGTCTGGGCCTCCGTCCTTACAGTGCCTCCTTTTAAATTAAATTTACACTTTGAGCTGAATTATACAGTGAAGAGCAGCAAATGCACATACCTTGACTCTAGCCAACGAGCTAGAATGAATGCCAGTATCCAACTGTGTAACCACTGCTTTGATCAATAGTTAGACGATAATATTGTCATTACCCCATAAGGTTCCTTGAGCTCCTTTCCACTCAAAATTCCCTGGAGGTACTCACTATTTTATTAGTTTTGTCTCTTCTTGAAATTCATAGAGGTGGAAGCGTAGCGTGTGTCTGGCTTTTTAAATTCAATACCTGTGAGATTCATCCGTGCTACTGGGTGTTGAATGGTATTTCATTGCACCACCACTGCTTTCTCAGCTTGTCATACCGTTGTGGCTTTTGTGTTGCTGTGATGGGAGAAATTCTACCACTGGTACTTCAAATCCAGAGGGACACTCCTGTGGTGGACAGGTTTCTGCAGAACTTTGAGACTGAGATTAGGAAGAAAGGCCTGACAATCTTCTTTTTAAAACAATGGATCAGTGACAGTGAACAGCAGCGGCCGGTGTAGTGCCGGGGTGGGGGGCACTCAGAATATGGCTGCGGAAGATGTGACTGGATAGAGTTGACCTTGATGACTTGAGCAGAGTAAGCCTTTCAGGACCTTCATTTACAGATGTGGCCTGGCTCCAAATGAGAAGAAATAGTGGTCAGCATCCATGTCTAACTGGGACATGGAAATATGATTGGAACTTGGAAAACTGGTTGTTGTTGTTATGTGCCGTCGAGTCGTTTCCGACTCATAGCGACCCTATGCACAACAGCTCTAAACCCTGCTCTATCCTGCGCCAACCGCACCGCCTCTGACACACCCATCCCGATTACCCCAGTCACCGAATCAATCCATCTCATAGAGGGTCTTCCCCTCCTGTGCCGTCCCTCCACCCTCCCAAGCATGATGTCCCTCTTCAAGGACCCGTCCCTCCTGGCAACATGTCCAAAGTATGTCAGACGAAGCCACAGAATCCTTGCCTCCAAGGAGCAGCTTGGTTTAATCCTCTCCAAGATGAATCTATTTGTTTTCCTGGCAGTCCAGGGTACATTCAGTACTCTTCTCCAGCACCACAGCTCAAAAGCATCCACTCTCCTTCTGTCCTCCCTAGTCATTGTCCAACTCTCTGATGCATAACAAGTGATTGCAAATACCATGGCCTGTATCAGGCGCACCTTAGTCTCCAGAGAGACACCGTTGCTCCTGAGTACCTTTGAGAGGTCCCTAATGGCAGACTTTCCCATCGCGATACGCTTTTTGATTTCCTGACTGCTGGTACCAAGAGTGTTGACTGTGGAGCCGAGCAAAGTGAAGCTGTGAACACTCTCAATCTCTTCGTCATCCATCCTG